CATCAGTCAAACAATAAAAGAGATCTAATAGAAAAATTATGGATCCACTTTTTCAAACAAAATAATAACTATTTCAAAGAAAAACAGTAAAATTGTTTGTAATTAAATCCTTAACATAATGTATATTAAGTTTTTTAAACAAGGAAAGAAACAGTATTTCAGATCATTGGCATGAAATAACTTGCATCTATTTCACTAGACTTGACTAGAATGACAATCACAGGGAAAATATAAAGAATATCTCTAACCATCAATAAAATGATAAAAGAGATCTAATGTAAAGATTATTGACACTTCGAAAATAGTAATTATTTCAAAGAAAAACAATAACACTGATCAATTAATTCTATCTATTTTCATAGATTTAATAAATAAATTTGTAACACGAAACAAACAGCATTCAAAATCAATGAAATTCAAAAACTTATATTTTAATGCAGTAAACTAACGTGAGAAAAACTTATTTATTATTCACCGGTGGATATTTTTTTTCAAAGAAATAATTCTCAATATGAAACAAAAACATGTTTTAGGTATATAAAAATATACAAGAAAATTAACTTAAACAATAGAATGGAAAGTTTTGTGGACGTATGTCAGAGATAAACAGGGGAATATTTTGAGGGGTTGACTCCTAGAGACACTTGTTTTGCTGAGATGTCAATTTTATTTAAAAGCCCTCAATGGGAATTAATTCATTATTATGAAAGAATGGAATGTTCTTTTTATAAATTTATGATTTTCTTTACAAATAATTTGCAATGTTGTGTTTAATTTGAAAAAAATAAAATACCATGAATAGTTTTCGATCTAATAACCGTATTTAATTTCACTGATTTACAATTTTAATGGGTTTGAGATGGCATGCTTTAAATTTCTGATTAATAAGTGCAAAAGATATTTTAAATTACAAAACCAGTCTGAATAAATACCTTTTTTATGGATTTCAAAACTCAATTAGCCAAATATAATATTATTAAAAAAATTCTTTCTGATTTTTTTAATGATTAAACATAAAAGTACAAATATTTTATGTACTTTTAAATGACAAAATGCAATGTATGTAAACCTGCAAAACAGTTTCTGAGCAAAGAAACTTTAAAATAGTCATATGTGAAATGTTTTGAAGACAGAAATCAAAATCCAACAAAGTAAAAAAAGTATCCTTATTAAGAGAGAACATTTTTGTGTCCGATTTTGTGAAAAAATACTGTCTACACTAATTAATTGGTACATCTTAAGTATATTATTCGAACAAATTAGATTATATTTTAGTACAGAAAAATTTGATCAGTAGTTCAAAAGTTAGAGAAGATGCTTTCTTTTATGAGCTGTACAAACTCATTCATAAATAAAGCCTTTAAAAAGTAGCAATTGAGATGCACACTCTAACTTTAGCAGAGGTTATTTGAAATGCAAAATTCCTATGCATAAATAGTAAATAATCTTCTAGCTATCTATCATGAATAAATTTGTAAAAATTTCAGATGAATTATTTTAACTTTTCAGATATAAAGTTATATTATTAATATAACTTTATTATAAGTTATATTATTTTGAGTTATAGAACTAAATTTTGAAGTTCTTCAAAATTTAGTTCTATGAACTCAAAAATAAATAGACAGGCATCAGACTCGTAACAACAAATTTCAATGATAGGATGATTCCCTGTTTTCTGCAGGCTTAAAAAGATATAATTAGAATTTTAGTCTATATTGCCTATTTAGAAAGATGACATTTATCCATCCATCTTGTCTTAACAAATAAGATGAAAAAATGTTTTTGCCCAATCAAATTTCCTTGAAATTTTATGACAAAGACAACATCGTTAGTGTCAAAACCTTGCAAGTTTATTTAATGAATAGAGTTAAAATTACAGTTTTGACCAAGCATTTCAATCTTCCTTTTCAGGTCTTCCCATACTGTCTACTGCAAGTGATTGAGATAACATTTAAAGAATAAATGTAGAGTTAAAAAAGAGAAAAATTTCACTCTTCACAATTCTATGGAGGCGATTTTACTGCAGATTTGCTAAATACTTAAGAGATATATTTCTATTTTATTATATTTTGAACAAGATATGTGTTTATCTAAAATGAGAAGACTAAATTAGTGAAATACAATTGAAATAAATCTAAAAAACAAACTATCAATTTTTTTTTCTCCAAAATAACGAAAGGACACTAAAAATATACTGTTAAATGACAGTCAATACAGAAAAGTAAAACAGGATGAAACTTGAAATATTTTAACGGTTATCACAAAAATAAATTATCAAACAAAACAAAATATCACAATTGAAACAACAACAAAATTTTTAGTGAAATAAATCGTGTAAATAATTAAGTTATGGTTATATATTTGAAACATCTTAATGTTAATACTTTTCACCGCATTCTTATAAGAATACTTCTACACAAAAATACAACAAATACACTAAATTGTATTTTTTTTAAATCTGAATTTGAGATTTCTAAACAAGTGTAACTCACTTTGAAATAAAACAAATTTTGTAACTGAACCTTTAACTGACATTAAAAAACTTATAGCATATTTTGTCAAAGTATCACTTAAAGTCATTAGAATGCAATTGAGTGAACCTAATTAGGTCTAATTAAAAATATAATATAGTTTGTATTGCTATAAAGTTGATATTAATTACAAATACACTAATAATGCACACTTTAAAGCAAAAGAACATTTCAGATACCTAAGAAAAAAGTAAATAAAATAATAGGAAAAATCTAAAAAAGAAAAATATAACTTTGTAATAAATGAAATGAAATAATTGGGAAAAGGAAATATAGTAGGTAATCATTATTATTTCACTATATTATTGCAATATAAATGTGTTTTAGAGGACTTTATTCAACTTTTGCCAAGCTTCATTTAATGTTTTGACTTAGGTTTTTCTTTTTTTTTCAAATTTATTTATTTGCATTATTATTAAATATAAGAATAGAATAAAATTTTATTTGTTGAAAACCAAAACCTCTTAACAAACTGGGTCTTAAATTTAAAAATACGTAATTTCATAAGACAATATACACATAAGTATACCAGGTCGATAAGTTCTCATACAGTAATTATATCAAATGTTCGTATAAAACAGAGATTTCATTCAGAGAGATCATTTTTTTTTTAAAAAATATGAAGGATTAAGAAATAAAAATAATAAATTAAAGATTCTATCGCACCATACAATAAAAAAATGGTGCTTGGATTTCAAAATGCGTGTTCAATAATAGTTATGTAAGCTATTTCAATGAGAGAAAAATTTGTGTGAAGTCTATAAAATAGGAAAGATTTTGGTAATCAGTTATTATTACTATCAACAAATGGACCGGAATATCCTGGTTGAGAGGCCATTGGACTCGTGTTTTTAGAACAGGAGTTAGAATCCCGCCGGCTAGAAAAATATTGTGTATTAAATGGTGACTGGTGTACATTAAATCTGTCTGGGTCACAAATTCCGTACGGTTCCCATAACAAACCAATACTTCTTGGGACACAAAATTGGAGTTGGATTGTTCTCTGGTTCAGGACAAAATCACGATCTGTGGATAAATGAATGGATGAATGACTGGGTCCCCCCTGTAAAGCGGACTGTGATGTGTGTGTCTGACTGAAATCTTATTCTGGGCAATAAATGGCCCCATTGAAAAAGAAAAAACGCACCCTCTGCCTTAAATTTTATTAGTTTGACCAAGCAGGATTGCTGGTACAAGCGTCATTAGAAACAACAACAACAAATAATTTCTGTAAAGTGGATTATCCCGATGATCGTCGCAAAAAAGGTTTGTTTTCCTAAGTGAATCCATAAATGCATTAATTACATAATAAAATAAAATGCATATTGATACTATCTTACACATTTCAAACTATTTAAAATAATTTAAAGAAGGCTTGAATTTAAATGGTTGTTGGCATTGGCAATAGAAACAACATCAATTATTATCAACAAGCTGGTGCTCTTTCGCACGCCGAAAATTCTCTGGATCTAAATCAAATGAATTATTTTGGTTGGGATATTACCCTATCAATACTGAATGATGCAAAATGCACAACTTCAGAAATGTTTGGATATACTTTGTACATTAAGCGAGTGTTCAACACTAAACATACCAACACTTTACTACACAATACAGTATACAATAACCGGTCTTTTGACCGGTTAAGGTATGTTTAGTTTTAAGTGAGTATGGAAAGAAATTTCTATGAATGCATGCTGCTTATGCTAGTTATGAGAAAAGACTAAAGGGTATGTAACAAAGAACTAAAAGATGGTACATAAAATAGTTTTTTCCCCGTAAATAATCGTAGTTTTATCACATATTGGAATTTGTTGCTTAAAACTGTATGAGAACTTATACACTTTGCATAATAAAACTTATGTCAAAGTGTTTTATTATTAAAAAGACATTTCTACATTAGATTTTTCATCTGTAGCATGTATTTTATCAATAAACAAAATTGAAAAATGTTTTCGTTATTTATGTTAAAAATGTCTCCCTGAAAAACTAACTTTAAAAACAAAAATTATGTGTGTGCTTCATAATTAGTGAGTTTAGTGATGAGACTAGAATACAAATTACCAATCAATGCAAAATATCACTAAAATGGTAATAATGATAGTTAAAAATAATTACACTGACTAGAACTTTACATGAAATAAACCAGTAGAAATAAAATACTGATTAACAGAAAAACCTGGATACCAAAACTATAGCATTTCTACTTAACCAAATTGCAAGTCAAAACTTAGAGGCTGAGAACTACTAGTCCCCAGCTTGTAAATTTTTGACTTGCAGTTTTGATTTAATACTTATAATAAAACATAAGTACAATAAAATAACAGATAAGAATTTAAATAAATACTTACATAATAAATACTTTGATAAAATACTTATACTATTTTTATTTTATTAAAATAAAAAAGTATTTTACTTTTTCCATACACAGAATCTTTTTACTACAATGCGTATACAGTATTTAATTAATACATAATATACTCTTTTATAAACAATGCAAGAAGCAAGTTAATGATCTCAGTTCGGAAAAATTTTCCTCAAACTTTATAAAGTCCAGACAAGAAGACTTCTCATAAATCCATGCCATTAAGTACAAATCATAATATATCTTTTTTTTTTAATAACAATTGAGAAATCAGGTGAACTTTATAATCCACTAATTTTATTAAACATTCAAAATGGTAAGTAGGAATAATAATAAATCAACAGTTATTAGAAAATTAATATAATTCTAAACAGTTATAATGAATATGAAGGAGTTGACTTAGCATTCAAACTAATGTGAGCAAATTATCATTGCTCATTTTTATATTAAGGGCTTTGATGTTAAATATCATACAAACTAACTAACTAAAGTGACATTTCAAACAATTTATGTCATTTCAAACCATTTATGTTATTATGCATAACAACCAGTTATTATATGCTTCAAACAACTTATCATTTTAACATTAGCATTTATACTTCATTTCAAAAACGAATTACAAGAAATTAATTAATAAACCATTCCTATCTAAAATTAATCACCCTTAAATACAATTCTTTTAGTTTATAAATATCTTCTAATACATTTACAAAACATTTTCTCCTCTGTTTTAAATAGTGTTTTTGTCAATTATAATAATTCACCTTTTAAATTTAATTATTACTCTTTTCATTAAATCTTATTTATAATACAAGTATTTCACACAGTTAAACGCTAATAAGCTACCAACACGTGCATAAAAATTAAGGATATAATTATATTTAGATATTCAACAACTTTTAAAGGAAAAATTATGCTACTCAAGATATCAAACTAAAATAATGGACAGCTAATTACTTTTTACAAAATTCATACATTTCCTATTATGCCTCACTACATTTAAAATTATCTTTTTTAAATTAAGTTTTACAAAAGAAAAGATTTTTTTACCCTATTTCACATAAAATTTCAATATATTGACAAAAAGACATATAGCAAAAAAAGCAAAGACTCAAAATAACTTTTGATTTAATGGTGCACATTTCAAGTACTAACATAAGTAATCCAGTAACCTGTATGACTATTTGACTTTCTTTCTCTTCTTGATAAAGTGAAGTAAGATAAGCTAATTAATTAATCATAATTATCATTAAAAAGTTCATGTGAAACAGCAATATGTAAGTGTACAATTTTGCACTAAATTCTCTTTTAAATGTCCACCTCTTAGGAAAATTTATTTAGACATTAAATTAATTTTCAACGAAAAAAGATCTTAATCAATATGATATAAAAGTTCTTAAGCTTTAAAGTTCACATTTTTTTTCATTTTAATCAGTAACAAAAAAAAAAGTTTGTTAATACAATTTGCATCACATGAAATTACTTCAGAGGATCGTGATTTTTTGTGACTAATGAGTGCAGCAGTTTCAATCAAATTTAAGTTCACTCCATATTTTCAATGTGCTGCATATTAGAGGGAATTATGCACTCAAGTATATTTCATGATTTATGGTAAATTTTATTTACAGCATGAAAATCTAACTAATAGATCAAAAGTTATTATGAATGTACGCTTTTTTGTCACATTTACATTAGACATAAAATACTTATACATTAAAGATATTTTTGACATTTGAAATTAATAAATTAAAAAAAGTAATTAAGGTTAAAATTTGATATGTTCATGCTGAATTATTATAGCATACATCACAGATGCAAATAAAAAAATATGTAGTACTAAAAATACTGATGAAAGCATTATGAGCTTGCATGCATTTCTTTCTTCTTTTTTTTCAACTAATTTGTTGTTGGAAGACATAGCAGCTTTGTTTCGAAGGCCCCATGGCTAAGAGAGTAAATTCAAGGTTCACCAGTTTGACAACATAATAAAGAAAAGAGCTAAAAAATAATAAAAAAAGGCCTAAAATAGAAAAAACAACATTAAATAAAACTCAATGCAAGGAATTAAATATAGATTTTACACAAATTCAATCTGAAATTTTCATGTGAATAATCTACAAAAACTTAAATTGCAAAAACAAACAAAATTGAAAACAAAATTGAATGCATGTAAAAAATTTTTGCACCACAAATTTAAAAAATAAACACTATGTTTAGCCCAAATTTACTTGGCAGTGTTGTAGAAACAAGAGCGTGTTATTCCGAGGAATTATTGTATTGCTTTGGAAAACATTTATTATGATGGGATATTGTATGTAAAACTTAAAAATCATTAATGTTTTTATTAATACAAATTCCTACTTACTATGACTAAAAGAAAGCACTGGTTTTTACTGAAGAGGAGATGCTTTATGAGGAATAAGACCTTTACTATATCCAGTTAAAACTTCGTGATAAAATGCATGCACTGAAAGAAAAGTCTAAATCAATGTATAAAAAGAGACAAATGACAGCAAATGAAAACATTTCATACAAATAGGACGAAAAAATAAATGCTATACTTCTCTCGCATTGATTTTAAAAAAAATATTGAATTAATGATATAATACTTTTTTAAATTATCTAAATTATCATTGGAATATATTCTACTTTTGTAATGAGCTTATTGTAAAAGTAAATAGTTAAATATACCATAATACAGTCAAACTCAACATCAGGAATTTGAACGGAGGTGCTAAAAATTTAGTCGCATCAAAAATTCAAGATATCAAAAATCGAATTTTTTTTTGTTGCTGCAATTCAGTCATATTAGAAACTGTGCTAAAGTTTTAAAACTTTTATGACATGTATTTACTTCTTTATTTCAAAAAATTTCAATATTTTTGCTTTTTCATGATCTTCATTTTCTAACATGCTTCTCTTAATATTCTGATTCTTCCCAAATCACTCCAGCTTGGGACATTATTGTCCATAGTAACTATTTCCTCATTAATATTAGCTTCTTTTGAATTCATAAAATTAGCAGCTCTTTCTTATTTTATGCAATATTTTTAACACTTTCATCACGGCAATGACATGCCTTTTTTCTGAGCTTTGACTTCAACAACATCACTAAAATTGAAACAAAAAGCAAATTCCTTTAAAATTTGTTTAGTTTACTTTAAAAAAATAATAATCAATTGCAATCAATAACCATATTCACTAATGCAACAATAGAGCACAGAGAATATTCATGGAAGACAAGTTATCTTGTCCGTCGCAATGAAAGAGTTAAACATACACACATCTTTCCTGTCATTCTTAAGGAATAATTAATTTTTTTTTTTTAAATATGATTTTTTTTTTTCTCAAGAAAATTTCTAAAAAATTATTCCTAAATTCATTTAAGAAAAAGTTTTAAAGATTGGAAGTTAAAAAAAAATTTTATAATTTCTTCGGAAATTAGAAAACATATGTTGGCGATCAAAAATATCTGAAATCCAGAATCAACAAGAAACTATTTAGCTAAAAATAGTTTTATCAACTGACAACATAGCATATGGGTAGAGAATTCAGATTTTTTTTTGTAACATCGTAAAGGTCATCTTATTGAAGTTTGTGATATTGAAAACATCCATAATTGTATTAATTGCATAATTCGAACAATTTAAAACACTAAAAGAACACAAAATATTAAAATATCTATTTTAAAAAAATTAACAAAATACATTTTATGCTACTTTTAAACATTTTAAATAACTGAACTTTCATTGAAATGTAAAAAAATATCAAAAAATGCTTACAGATAGATCTGTTGGGCTCATTCAAAATTTCCAAGCCACCAAATGCAAATTTATCGAAGCTTTCATGTTGCCATAAAGCATATACTGTAAAAAGAAGATATTCATGTATTTGGAATGAATATACACATTTTAAATATGCTTATTCATAATTTATTATTCAAAACTATTGCAATAATAATGAATGAAAATGTTAAACATTCGTAGCAGCTTTAATTAAATACTTAGTTACACAACATAAATTTAAAATTAAGGTAAATATAAATAGTTAAAAGAAATAAAAGTTACTAGGAGGCTTCGCCCCCTGCTCGCTGGAGCTCGCCAACCCCCGGAACTGCTTTTAGCAGTTCTTTTCGGATTGCTTCGCAATCCGATGCTCGCTTTGCTCGCTCATTGGATACGTTCTTAACGTCTAGCTTTTGTATACTTTTTTTAACACTGAAGTTCCGAAAACTTTTCATTGTAGAAAATTCTAAACCTGCACATTTCAATATTAATTTGAAATTGCAAACAGTTCACATATTTTTCTTAATCACACTATTCTAAATTTCAGTTGTTGAGAAAAGTAACTGTTGTAAGTTTTGTTTTAAAGTCTTTCCCACCAGAGGGCTAAAACCATGTGTTTTAAAACAATATGAAATAGTACTGAACACCGGATGTAAAGCATCAGCTTCGATGAAGATAATTTTGTGAGAAATTTTTTAATAATTCGATGAGAATTCACCCGATTAGACATATGATGCTCGCTACATGCTCTTGCGCACCAAAGCCTATCAATTAAAACGTATTAGCGTTTTATATAATATACATTAGCCATATGATGCTCACTACATGCTCTTACGCGCCGAAGCCCATCAATTAAAAATGAAAACTGTTGCCAACGCGAGAAAAGAGATATCATCGGTTTTATTGATACATACGTACGTATTAGCGTTTTATATAATATAGATGTTTAGGCTAGAACAAATAATGCAGGGTAAAATACAAATAGTTAGCTGTAAGTCGCTGCAATTCTGTAAAAAGCATCATCACGCTGAAAACAGTGATAAAACATAGAATTTCTTAACTTGAGCCAGAATGATCCTATTAGTTTATAGTAAAAAAAGTGTGTGTCTTTAATTTTTAAATTTGTACAATTTTTTTTACATAAAAAATCAATCTTACCAGTATTATGAGGTCCAAAAATTGAAGTAAAGCAACCAACTAAAACAGAATTGGCATTTTTTAACTTAAGAGAACTGAGTTCCATTGCGGCTTTTAGTCTGCCATCCCAAATATCAGTGTGGCTATTCATATGAAATATCTGTAATTCATATAGCCCTGTAATAAAAATGCATATCGCTATAGAAAAACATTTAGAAGATACATTTAAAAAGCCAAATAAGGCAAACTGAAAAGTTTTTAATTCAGAAACAAAAGCCATCTTCAGAAAATGTTTACTCGCTAGAACCGGTTCTAGGAGGCAATTACTTGAAATTAAACAACATAATGCTTTTGTGTTGACTATTTTCTGTTTTTAATGGTATAGATATGCATCCCACAAAGCACTCTGTAACAGGAAATACAGTAACCCTCCATAATGAATATCTTAAAGAGAGGTCCGAAAAGAAACAACTTTTAAAAAGATGTCTAGCTAAACAGTACTGGAAGATCTCTTTGCTGTAAAATATGTAGCTAAGGCACACCACATGGAAGTGGATCTATAATCCCTTCATTAATTCAATTTAAAAAGGAAAACACCATAGATTGATCTTTTAATTAATCAATATTAAAAGCATTTTTTCAAATGACTAAAACTAAGCTAGTTTGGAAGAGAAAAAAGGGGTCTTTTGAAAACCATTAAATAAACATGTTTGACACATAAAAAAAAACCATTTATATTGAATTAAATTTTTAAAAAAAATTTAATAAATTATCAAATAAAAAGTCATTATTCATAGAAATTCTATAAATGACAAAACATGCTATATATACATAATAACACTATATTGTAGGTTTATTTTTTCTTTTCAATGAAACAACAATTTGTCCAGAGCTGATGCAACAAAGCATTTTTTGATAAGCGATATTGATAGTCAGAAAAAAAGACTTAAGTTAATGATTTAAATTTGAACTAGAAACTCACATTCAACAGAAAAGAATAAAAACCAGCAGGGTTTTGCAGTATCTTCAAAATCATGGACAGTTTAATAACCAAGGAACAAACTCTAACAGTGTTTTAAAATCTCTAAAGTGTAACAAAGAGAAGGTGATTTTAAAAAAACTATCTGCAACTAGAGAAAGGAAAAATAACAGGTTTCATCCATGTATTAGAGGTTGGAAATGTAAATAATAACACTGAAAAAGGCAAGATTGAAGATTATGAATATTTATAAAAGATTTAATGCCATATATGTTTACAAGTATCTGTGATTGTTTTTATACTTACCTCTGTTAGTTGTAACTTATTAAATTAATTCTAAGTTTAAAGGCAGTGCTTAACTGAGACTTATCCTGCATGCAAGATAATAAATCTCCATCCCAAAGTACTGCAGAGCCAAAACCAGTAATGGATTGATTAAATCATTTTAATGTATATGTTGACTTTGATGGGTAATGAATTAAACAAATAAATAAAAACCATGTTTCAATTTAATAACTTTCAGTATGGAATACTTTACAGATATAAAATTTTTTATAAAAAGAAAATAGCTAAGCGCATACAAAAAAATTAAAAGTTTTGGAAAATAAATTTAATTAAAAAACAATTAAAACAAACCATTTTTGCTCGGCAAAGTAATTAAACTCCATGGTAGCAACATCATTGTAGCATTTGTCTGAGATATATACATAGGAGCAACTTGACTGATGTAATTTGTTTGCCATTCTTTATCATTCGCTAACGCTTTTCTAACTTTCGCTCGATGCTCATGATTATCTAAAATTTGCAATGAACAAAAGTAAATTAGCAGTTAAAAAACTAAAATATAAACTTATATGTTATGGACTCATAATATGTATTTACTAAATTGCAAAGTAAATCCTTATGAATAATGAATAGGAAATGATGGCCAAAGGGAAATAGGGAAATGAAAGCCAAGAAAAATGGTAAATAATTAGCATATAAAATAACTCAAAATTTTCTTCCCAACCTAGATGCTCTAATATAAATGAGTTTTTTTCTTAAATCCTTTTCACATCAAATCTTTTACAACATTGTAAATTAAAGTACTGGGGTTCTTAATTGACATTGGTGCATAAAAGTGCCTTTTTCTGTTGCAACTTGAAAGACAAAAATCGCAGTTGTACATGAAAACAATCTCGTAGATATGTTGGAGCTTTCCAGGTTAAAATTTAACTATTCCTTTATGTGAATAACATAAAAAACTGTATAAAAACAAACTTTATTTACTGCTGAGTTATGTAAAAACAACAGAACTTTGTTTATTTCATGTGCACATTACAATTAAAAAAATAATTTTGAGACCTCTTGTATTGTACACTTGGACATAATTCAAACTTTTTTACACTATATTTATGACTTATTTAACTAAAAGAAGTATGTAAAAAAAAGTTTTGCAACAACAGCCATTAAACAATGGAAAATTGCTTGTATATAGTGTTTACTTGGATTTCAATAAAGCACTATTAGGATAGTTTCAGTTATAACTAGAACATAAATTAAGAGATATTATCACTTCCCCTAATGCTTAAGATGTGACTAGAAATTAAGATAAAGTATAAATTGTTTTACAAAACTTCTTAGGAAAAACATTTAAAAAAAACTGCAATACGTAAGTGTTTACATATAATAACAGCTTTTCAGATCATAAAATCTTAATTTTGCATTTAACTATTTTTTTTTTTTAATTTTAATTTTCTATCTTTAGAATAACATAATTACACAAATAAGTGACATGCACTTAAATATTTTTAATTTGTTAAACTATTTTACTACTTCTGAAATAAAGACAGAAAACATAATTATATTTCATGAGCTGCATGATTATTGTACATTTATAAAGTCAACATAATTTAGTGAGATACAGACATGTGATTGCTGAATGAAGAAATAATTGGAATTTTCTTTTTCACTGTAAAGATTTTTTTAAACTTTAGTACATGGTTTAGTCGGTTGGTTGGCATCGTATCCTCTATTGAATCATATCTCATGGTGTGCTTGAATAGTCTTTGCTATTTCTATGGCACTAAATGAATATTAATCTTCTTCTGTAGGATAGTTTAAGAGGTGAAGGCCTGAGGCGACTGCAGGGCAGTTAAAAACACAATATAGGTGTGAGTTTAACATTAAGACAGTTGCCACAGTTTTGAGTACATGATTTAGTACTCTTGCACATAGAAGATATTTAAAAGACTGTCAAATTTTAAGCACAAAAGTAACATTCACAAAATTTAAAGAGGGAAAGAAATTTTTTTATCTAATAATAAGATTGAAACACAAATTTACAATGGCATTGCGTGCGTTGAAAAGTGATTACTGAATACGCAATTAGAGATTCTCAGGTCCTAATATCATATTAAAAATTAATTCTATCTAATTGTAGCCAAATTTAAAAAAGGGGGGCATTGAGTTCACATTGATTAACTAATTATTTTGTTATGAATTGGAATTTTCCACAAAATTGCTACTCGTTAAAATATAAGTTTAAAAAACATTAAAAAAAATTACAATAATTTCTAGTGAAAAATCTTTTAAATGTTCACCATTTCGGAGTTACTTTTAACACTACCAATAACTTTTGTCTTACACATAACTTTAGTGTTTGCATCCGTAGTTCATTAATTCTTTCCAAAGCCATGCAGGAATTTTTTTCTCGAAGTTTATCCGATGTTGCGCTTTCTCTAACAAATTTATGTTTAAAAAAAAATCATTATTATGCGTGGTTGAGAGCTTGAGAGGGTGCTAGTAAGAGTGGAATAAATACCTCGTTTGAGTATTGCAAAAATTAATTATAAATTAATTTCATATAAAATTCTGAGAAAATTTTGTTGGGATATCAGAATTTCTAAACATTCTTTACAAAATACTCAGAATAGAAGATATAACAAACTAAATTTGTTGAAAAAGTATTAATGAAAAAACTGTATCGCAAAAGAATTTTTATAATACTTATGTAGAATCTAAATTATAATAATTATATTTTTGAAGACAAAAATTAAACTTTTCAAGATCTGAGACACATCAGAATAAATATAAAAAAAGTATTCCCACAACAGTCCATTTGTGAGCCAGGGGGTTAAGGAGAATAAGGCTTCCTAATTTCATGACCAACGGCATGATTGTAGCAATGTGGTCAGTACTGCACACAGGCAGCCTTTACTTCCCAGACAAGTTGGTACCCATCGATCTGAAGGTGGGTGAACTTCAAGCTGCCACTGGGGATAAGAATAAATAGATCTGAACAAAAAAAATCATAAATTGTTCAAACAATTAAATAATTTATTTATCCTTTAACAATTACATACAGTGTGCAAAATGAAAAAAAATGCCAAATAACTTCTGATTTAATGATCACATTTTCACATGATCTAATGATCAGATTTCAAGATTCAATCGTAATAGCATAGAAGCTTTAGCTTAAATAGGCTAATTAATTATTGCCGGCATAAGTTAGGAAATCGGAAAAGAAATCTTCTTTTCCTGAATAAACAAACCCCTTTTTCAAAAGATTTGTGTTCTTAACCTTTAAAAATATGGGGGGGGGGGTGCNGGGGGGGGGGGGGGAGTAGCTGCAATCTGAGATCTCGAAAGCTTTCTGAATAAATGAAAAAGTTATGCACATAATTATTAAATTCCTTTATCAAAGATAATTCCATGCAAAAAAAAATTCTTAAGAATTATTTATTGTCATTAATTTATTATTTAAAAATTTTGAATAGTGAGATATAATTTTTTTTCGATAATTTTGAATAGTGAGATGTAAAAATATAATTTCAAATAACAAAATACAAAACTTAACAAAGGTGGTCGAAATACAAGATTTTTAAAATTTGATAACTCAGAAACTATTTGACAGATTTCATTCAAAATTTGATCATTAGATCAAAAGTTTTTCAGTGTGCTTATTCTGTGCACTGTACATATAATGCAGAGTGAAAAGTAAATTAAAAATTTAATGTCTCACCATATTCCCAAACATGAATAACTTCATTTAATGCTCCCAATTCAGAACTCCAAAATCCAAAAAGCTTTGAATGTTTAATACGAAGATAAAAATTTTCTTCCGTAAATTTTATATAATCTCTGTAATATTTTGGACGAACTTTGTAGGTCCTAATTTCATATATTTTCTGTGACTCTTTCTGATTTAAATAGAGTTTATCCTCGGCTTCTCTTGAGGAAGAGTTCAATGGAGGAATGCAAAGTGTTCTTTGAAGGTTATAACCATATTTTAGACCAAAATTCTTCCAATAAGGGAGTAATATCTGGAAAAATACAAAGTAAAGATAATTCAAGATTATATAATATGAAATACAATTTAAATTGTCTATCTTGAATATCAAGGGAAATTTAAATAAAAAAACTCAAGACAAAGAGATTTTTAATTATAGAGGTATTAAATAAAATCCTTTTAAAAAAGTGTTACTAGTTTTTCTTGCAACAAAATAACATTAACATAACACAATAAAATGACATTTTTGTCACGAAAATAATCTTCAACCTTTATAACCAAAAATTAGTGTTTCAATGATCCTTCGCACCCAACCAATTAGCCTTGTAAGGCTATCACGAAATGCAAATCCATCATTAAAATTTTTCTGATACTTAGAAAAAGTTGTTAAGATATAAATCTCCTCCTCTGACTTTTTCGTAGTCACTTTAGGTACATTGAAGTGCGCGTTGGTCCTAATACTTGATCCCTTGTTTTTTGGGTTGGGTTCCAAATCTCAATGCCTTGAAGTTGAACATTGAGATAGCTATAAAGCAATAAATGGGTTAGTTTTTTAACCCTTAATATAAAATTAAATCTCTGCACCTGCTAAGGTCTCGCATGTTACACATCAAGGATACAGAAAATTCTCAGATCCTAATTTTTTTCCCAGAGCATAATATTTTAGTTTAAAATTTTTCCAAAATTCTAATTTTTTTAAGTTACAATAGCTTTTTCAAAATATTTTTAGGAAGTCTGTAAGTGATTAAAAAATTTTGATAATAAATTTTTCTTTAATAAAGAAATAAAATAAATTATTTTTCACAATTCTTGAATAAACTAGCATCTGTGTTAAAAATAGAACACAAAATACATTGAAATAGCAATAATTCATGGAGTTAAATTTAAGTCCCACTCATAAACTTCAAGAATTCAAACTAATAAAAAAAATTTGAGATATAGAGATATTTGCGTAATAGTTCACATATCAGAAAGTATTGATTTACTTTTGAAGTTTGTAAAATATTTTTTCACAAATATTCATTCATCTGAATTTAAATATAAATAATCTACACCCTTGTAAAGATATTGCTATTTCTTGCAAAGTCAGGTAATTTTTCTGTCACTTGTGTTATTGAAGAAGGAATATCTTTGAGCAATGATTTCTGTAATATCAAGACAATTTCTATAGTTTTTAATTTTGTAACTTCCACCAAAATTCAAGATACAAATGTTTTAAATGAAATTTGCTCAAGATAAACATGAAATACACTGATTTCAGATTTTAAATGTATTCATTTTCAGAAATTTTGAGATAAACAGGCTTTTGAGATAAACATATAAGATAGTTTAGATCCAAAAATTTATGACTCAAGGAAGAAAATTTAAATTAAATATAAAAGTAGAATGAAGAAAAAAGGAGAATTACTGAATACCTTCAATCAAAATTGGATATTAACTTTAAACTGAATATTAATCAACAAACATATAAATTTTAACTTGTGTGGATAGTACTTATAAAGACTTTTAATAAGAACAATAATAGTAAATATTTTAAATATTTGATGACTGTTTGACTGACACATATAGTTGATCTGAACTACATGAATAAAAAAGAGAAACAGTAATTTCAAGAGAAAAACAATTGAATAAAAAAATTTTATTTTGCAACAATTTCTTTTTTTGAATATATATATATATA